CAGTGTTGGTGCTGTGCTGAATGAGGTCACAGTCTAACTACAGTATTAACCCTGCAAATCTGTTCATTTCCGCCCGAGCACCCCCAGGCGGGATACAGAATGTGTCCAATTGAAGTTATTTCAATTCTGCAGGGCAGTGATGGGCTGAATTGTAACAAGGATATGTGCATGTGTGTGTGCATACATAGCCAGGGAATCATCCAGGAAGCCATGTAATAAGTATTTCTTTAAAAAAAAACATAATTTCTTTATTGATTCTTGGGGAATTTCACATCATGCACCCTAATTCTGCTCCCCTCCCAGTCCTCCATATCCTTCCCTCACCCCTGCAGTGCCCCACCAAAAGAAAATTAAAAACAAAAACAAGCAAGCAAACAAACAAACAAAAAGCCCTTTCTTCTCCTTCTTTCCCGCCTGTCCAATACCTCTTCACTCATCCTGGTGGCATTGGGAGCCGCAGTTTGTCCAGTCAGCTTTACTAGCAAATGTTCATTGCAATGACTAGCAAGTCATTCGAATCTGGTTCAGGGCCTCTGGTTTCTGGTACACCATCCTCACTGGATACTGACCAAAACTCCCCTCAGATATTCCTTGACCACCCCAAGTCATAGAGGTCCTGCAGAGCATCTCACAGGACCAGTCCCTTCGTGATCTGCAGCAGGTCCTTGATGGGATAGATGTTAGGGTGGGCCAACCCAAGGCCTGGCTGTGGGCCTGGCTGGTACCTGAGCTGGTCAGTCTCAGGTGAGGAGGCAGAGCCCATGTCTTCAGGGTCAGTTCTCCCTCACCCGCGGTGATGGGTGGAGCCATCTCTCCCGAGTGTCGGGGCCAGCTGTCTTGTGTGGTGAGGGGCCGCGCCAATGAGGTGTGGTACCGGCTCAGCACAGCACTCTGGTTTCACCATGTGTGCTTCCTCTGCTTTCCTGAGCTGACATAGGCCAGAGACATCAACTTAGATCCAGCGGCAGCAGGACCATGGACCCAGACATGGCCGTTGGCAGCAGCTTGGGTCCAACAGGTGTTTGTGAAAAGTGCTTTCTTATTGCTTTGTGGGGTGTGTGGGCATGATATACGTATATGTGTGTGTGAGTCGGTGAATATGTGTACACACAAGTCATAGCATACATGTGGAAACCAGAGGTCAACCTAGGGATTGGTCCTCTACCTTCCATCTTGTGTGTGGCAGGTCCCGGGTGCTGGGTACTTTTATGTAAACTTGACATGGGCTATTGTAATCCGAGAGGAGGGAGCCTCAATTCAGAAAATGCTCCCCTAAGATTGGGCTGCAGACAAGTCTATAAGGCATTTTCTTAATTAATAAGGCAGTTTCTTAATTAGTGATTGATGTGGGAGAGTCCAGCCATTATGGGTGGGGCCACCCCTGGGTTCTATAAGAAAGCACCTCTCCATGGCTTCTGCTTTCAAGTTCCTGCCCTGACATCTTTCAGTGATGGGTCACGATGTGCAAACAGAAAACAAATAAACCCTTTCCTCCCCACCGTGCTTTTGGCCATGATGTTTCATCATAACAATAGTAATCCTAGCTAAACAGAAATTGGTCCCAGGGTAGTGGGTGTTGCTGTAACAGACCTGACCATGTTGTCCTGGGGAGAATTGTGGAAAGACTTTGGAACTTTAGGCTAAGTCACTGAGTGTTGAGAGCTCAGTGGGCTGTTCCGCAGGGGCTCCGAAGGTAACTATGTTGAGAGCACTGTGGACCTTGGATGCCTGGTTTGTGATGTTTCAGAAGGGAAGCAAAGATTCTACCAGGCTTTTGTGTGAAGAATCTGTGGTTCTGGTCAGCTGGACCTGAAGAATCGGCTGTGATTAACAAGGGCCGAGAATTACTGAAGTGAAACCTTTGCTTTTCTGGGACAATGAAAGCTGGCCAGCTGGGACTGGAGAATCAGCTGTGATGAAGAAGAGGCCAGCATCACCGTGGTGAAATCTGGGAAGGGTTTCCTTGGGGTCAGCACACAGAAGCTGTGCTCCCCAGGCAGCTGAAGTGGGTAGTGTAAGAGTCATCTGATGACGAACCCGATCGGCACGGTACACTACAGCCCAGAACCCCTGGACTCAAGTGGTCCTCCTGTCTCAGACTCCTGACTACTGGCATGCGTCACCATGCACTGGTTTGAAGGCAGCAGGGGGTCATGGAGAGCAGCTGAACACTGTGGCAGGGCTGCAGTTCCTGGAGAGAACACAGAAGAGGCATTGGTGACAGAGCAGCCCAGTTGCAGCAGAGACCCCAGCATTTTGGAGACACCAGTGCCATGGGATGACCACCAAGAGCAGCAGCGGTGGGGGAGCAGAGCCAGCCAGAGCCTAGAAGACGAGCTGTGTGGGCAGCAGAGGGTTCAAGTAGAGAAGTGACCCGACCATTTGGAGGAGCCCAGAAGATCGTGAGTGGATCCCAGACATGGGGCATTGAATTATTTACACAGTTGGAGTTTGATTATGACTCTGCCCTGGTTCCGGTTCTTTCCTCTTGAAATAAGAAAGTATTTAACTTTTTTTAAAAATAGGTTCCCACAGTTAAAAGACTTCGGCTATTAAAAGAGTGAGTTTTTAAAGGGGGTTGAATTTGTATGACTTGTGGGACTTTGTAAGTTTAAAATTTTTATATTGTGATGTCAATATTTAATACATGAGCTTGAGGATGAACAAGAAAAGAAAGGTTGAGGCTTAACAGTGGTGTGTTTGTGTGTTGACAGGGGTCAGTTGTGCTGGCTACTTTTATGTCATATGAGAGGAGAGAACCTCAATTGAGAAGATACCTCTATAAAATTGGGGTGCAGGCAAGCCGTTAAGGCGTTTTTTAGTGACTGATGAAGGGATATGCACCGAACTTGGTGGGTGTCACTCATCACTAGCCTGGTGGTCCCAGGTTCCATAAGAAAGCAAGCTGAGCAAGCCGTGAGGAGCAAGTCAGTAAGCAGCATCCCGGTGGCCTCTGTGACAGATCCTGCCTCCAGCTTCCTGTCTGCCTTCCTTCCGTGATGGATTGTGATGTGGAAGTGTGAGACAAATGAGCCCCCCCCCCCCACCGCCCCAACTTGCTTTTGGCAAGTTTCCTCACAGCAGCGGTAAAGCTAGCTGGGGCACTCCCTTTGTTGATCGCGGTTGTACTTCATATGCCAGGCTAGCTGACTCAGAAGCTCCCGGCAGTCTCCTGCTTCAGCTCCTCACTGGGCAGTGGGAACGGGGATTACAGACTTGCTGCTGGGCCAGGGCAGATATGAATTCTAAATCCATTCCTCATACTTACATAGCCAGCATTTTATTTTCTGTACCATCTCCACAGCCCTTGATCACTTTTTAAGGGTGAGGTATCGTCTGCCATCCAGAATTAAAAATACTTCTTCTGGCACTTAACCTTAATATGTTCTACCATCTGTGACTTTGCTTCGTTCCCGCTCCCACCCCATAATAACCCTTTCAACTCCTTTTCTTTGTGTGTTCCAAGCACCCTTTTGTGTCCTTAATTTCTATTTTGCATTATTGAAGAATACAGTAAAGAATGCTCTAGTGAATACCCATGAATTTGCCACCCGATTTAGGAACTGAAAATGAACTCTTTTTGAGTGGCATTTTCTGGGCTCTGTTTCCTGCGCCTTGCAGAAGAGCACCACACAGATGGTAAACATTTTGTGCAAGGCCCCATCACCTCGCCGTTCCTAGTGGCTGTCTGGGAAAGCTTGCCAGTGGCAGTCTCTCTTGGACTTGGGCTTAACCCTAAGTAGTCTAACATCTGAGCGCCAGGTAACACCTCAACCTGTTCCAGGATCAAGAAACCCATACTTTGCAAATTTATGTTATCCCTTGCACTTTAAGCACAAGACTAAGCAACTTCCCTTCTGAAATCTCTATCAGAGACATTTTTCATGTAACCCATTTACTACTTTTGGCACATATGGTGAGTGTGTTTGAAAACAGTCTCTGCCTAAATTTCAAATCTGAGAATGGAGAGAGAGAGAGAGAGAGAGAGAGCTCGCATGCGCGTGTGTTCAGTCTTACAGACCGCTCTTTTGGTTTGTTCCTCAATTGATCTATCATTTGATGACTCTAAGTATCTGACCCCTTGGAGTGCCAGAACCTGGCATGACTTGCCTGTGGCGTGGAATCACCATGGTGTTTACTCATTTATGCTGTATCCTGGGACAACTGGCATCTTTTCTGCTCTTGAGAGTGCAGTTCCTTCAGTGTGTTCCTGCTGCTGCCATGTGCCGCTCGTGTCCTGGTCTCTTCCTGCTGCTGCACACGCCTCCCACGTCCTGGTCTGTTTGCTTACATCACACCTTTTGCTGCGGTGACTACACTTCATAGCAGCAGCATTTGCCTCGTCCTCTTCACCTTGGAAACTCTGAGAAGTCAGGCACACAGCAAAGAAGCTTGTCTGGGATCTGTTGTTATGAAGCATCCTCGAGCCACAAATTCCCAGGAAGAGAGCTGGGGAGCAAGAAACTGGCTTTTTATTTTTTAAAACCTATGGAATGATAAACTCATGGTGTCTGTTTGAACAGCTGATGGCTACAACTGTACAATACTCCTTTGTGATTCAAAAGCTAGAGCCTTAGAATCTGCCCTGTAGAACACACATGGCTTAGTTCCTGTGCATAAGAATGAGGAAGTTTTCAAAGAGAACCATAAACTATACATGGTTTATTTGGGTGCATAGTGTTTTAAGCATTGATTATCTTTTCATTTAAAATGAATAGGATTTCTCCATAAGCCACTTGTCATTTGCATAATGTGAAAATGCATTTGTATAATAAGCCCTCAGAGTCCGCAGAATTGGATCCCGGGCACATGAAGTTCCTTTCTCTCTGTTGCAGGTTTTGCTTTGCTTATAATACTGAAAACCAAAGTGAGAGGACCTGATATTTCCCAGATGTTATTAAAGAGCTCGTCATCGCCGCTCACCCGCTCATTTCCCAGGATCTATGTTCTCGTCGTCACTGGCAACAGAACCGTGTCTAACTGTGCTTCTCTCTCTGTAGGACAGTCGGCCCAATATGTCAAGACCTCTGATCACTAGATCCCCCGCATCGCCACTGAACAACCAAGGCATTCCCACTCCAGCCCAGCTCACCAAGTCCAATGCACCGGTCCACATTGACGTGGGCGGTCACATGTACACCAGCAGCCTGGCCACCCTCACCAAATACCCCGAGTCAAGGTAACTGCAAAAGTGGGGATGTCGCTCTCAGAAGTGTGTGTGTGTTTGATGCTGTCAACTGCTTTTCCTTTGATCAGAAGAACAGTGTGGCCCTACCAATACCAAGCACAGGGCATGACCTGCTGAGGCTATTCAGGGCCATGGCCGTTTGATTCCACAGTTGGGGCATGGAGTACTCGTCCGAATGCCACTTTCTGAGTGCCGTGGTAGACGCCTGTAATTCCAGCCTTCAGGGACCTAAGGAGAAGGATCATGAATTCAAGGCAGGCTGGGGCTATATAATGAGCTCAAGACCAACCAGGACTATAAAATGAGGCCCTATCTCAAAATAAAAATGACGACGGGTGGGGGGCGGTGAAATGACCCAGAGCAGGGCTAATGGCCTCAGTTCAAACCATGTCAAGATGGAAGGAGAGAATCCAGAGCATTGTTCTCTAAGCTCCACCTGTGCTCTGTGGTGTGTGGGCACAGACAGAGAGACAGACACACACACGAGGGAGAGAGAGAGACAGACAGACAGACAGAGACAGACAGAGAGAATAATGTTTATAACATAAATAGACAATATTGAGTATAAATCATAGTTGTGATAAGAATGTTATAAAGTATTTTAGTTTTTTTTAAGATCTTTCTTGATACCTAAAAGAATTTCAGCCAGGCAGTGGTGGCACACACCTTTAATCCCAACACTCGGGAGGCAGAGGCAGGCAGATCTCTGTGAGTTCGAGGCCAACTTGGTCTACAAGAGCTAGTTCCAGGGCAGACTCCAAAGTAACACAAAGAAACCCTGTCTCGAAAAACCAAAAAAATAAAAAAAGCATTTGAAAGCTGGGGTGAAAAGGATAGAAAAATGTGTTCTCTTGACTTCCAGATTTACTTTCCAGATAAAAATGAAGTGATTAAAATATAGGTTTGTAAGCTATCCACAAAGCTGTGCATTTACCCCTGGCTCTCAGCTGTTCGTGCAGGTGTGACTCGGAAATGCTAAGAAAGCGATACAAAATCACATGGTCACGGTGGCTGTAGTTTTAGTTTTCAGGAATATGACTCTTAAGCTCACTGCATAGAAAAGGCTGACCTCAAGCCCGCAGAGATTTGCTGCCTCTGCCTCCTCGGTGCTGTGATTGAAGGAGGTGTTCCCCACTGCCCTGGGCTCATTAATGTTTTATTTCCTTGATGTGAAAATTTAGTTTATAAAATGGTTAATAACTTTTTATATACATTGATTTGTATTTTCCTCATGCATATAAATATTTTGCCCACATATAAATATGTACAGCATGTGCATGCGTGGTGGCCTCGGAAGCGAGCAGAGGGCTTCCGTTCTCCTGGATCTGCAGTTATGGATGCTTGGGGGCTACCACGTGGGTTCTGGGAGCCAAATCTAGTCCTCATTTTCAGTAGCCACAAGTGCTCTTAATAGTTGAGCCTTCTCTGCAGCCCAGGGTTCCAACATCTTAAGCGACTTGTCCATTGACTAAAAAAATAAGAATCTGGCTCTATAACTATTATTCTTTTTAAAGAGTACCTATTTGTATTTCTTCCAACCTCCTGTTGATACTGACATCAACTACAGAAAACTGCTTCTGGCCCTTCAGATGAGGGAGTTAAATCCAGGGTCAAGAACAAACCATCTACAAAGGTCCATATCCTGTCCTGAAATGTAGGGCAAGTTAGTGACGTGGTCTGGTGGCCTTTGCTTTTGTTTGCTTTTAAAACTTCTGATTTAAGGGGGAAGTTAATGCAGCCAGAGGGGCTTCCTTCTCAAATACATAGGAACAGAAATATTTCCGATTTGGCGTGTTTTCAAAGTTTAGAATATTTTTCTATGTATAATGAGATATCCGGGGAAATAGAACCCAAGCTGAACATGAAATTCATCTATGTTTCATATATATATATTACACACATATCCTGAGGATCATTCTGTATCATGTTTTTAGTAACTCTGTGGACAAAACAAAATTTCAGGACATGGAATTTTCTATGTAGGGTCTTATGTTAGTGCTCAAAGGGTCTTGGAAACTGGGGAAATAGCTAAATTGGTAAGGTGTTTGCCACAAAGGCATGGATCTCACTCCCAGAACTCACAAAAGGAAGCTGGTATGTCCCTATAATCCCAGCTGTCCTGCTTATCCTAGTCACCTAGGAAGAAAGAACTTCCGTTGAGGAATTGCCTCGACCAGCTAGGCATGCCTGTGGGTACTGTCTTGATTGCTAATGAGTCTAGGGAATTCAGCCCACCGTCGGCTTTCCAGTCCCTAGGCAGGGGTCATGGGTTGTATAAGAAAGCTAGCTAGACATGAGTCTTCAAGCAAGCCAGCTGGCAGGCAGCATTCCTCTGTAGGATCCACTTAAGGCTCACGTTTGACTTCCTGCCTTGGCTTCCCTCAGTGCTGGGTTGTGACCTAGAAATACAAGGTAACTGAAGGCTTTCCTCCTCCTTTTCGGGTGTTTGATCACAGGGGCAGAATAAACAGTACCAGGGAGGGAGTAAGTGGATCCTTGGGTCTCAATGGCCAACCAGCTAATTAGGCAAGCCCTAGGCCAATGAGGGACCCTGTTTACAAAAACATGATGGACCGACCGCTCCTGAGGGATGACACCCAGGGTTGACTTTTGGCCTCTATACACACGCGCATTTCTCCAAGCCCCACAAACATGCATGAACACATATGTGCACACGTTCCAATAGATGCCCACTCAAAGTTCTGGACTTTGGAGCATTTTGGATGTGAGTGGTTGGACCATTGGCCTGTGCCTTAGGCTACTGGTTTTGGTCTAGTTGCTCAGTGCAGCTGCTTGGATCTTCTACAGTCTGATGCTCTCTGAGGGTCAACCATCTGTAGCACCCTGGATTCGCTTGAACTTTGGACAGTGGTGGAAGATAAAAGGTTGGCCACTCTCTTCATTCTGTTTCTGTCTCTCATAATTTTCCAGTCACCTCCTGTTGGTACTACATATTTTAGACCTCAATTAATGTCTCGTTTGGAGACTTCCTAGTCTATCTTTCCATGAGTTTCCTCGAGTTTCGTGATTCAGATCCTGAGCCATATCAGATTTCGTAGATGCCTTTATTCTCTCTAGCTGCCTGGTCTCTTACAGCAGTCAGCTGCCACATGCACTACTGAGCATCCAAAGAGAGGACAGTCCGAATTGAAATTCCCTTTTGATGTACATTACACACTCAATTTTGAGGCATAGAATTAAAAAAAAAAAAACCTCTTAAATATCTCAGTGATTTTTATATTGCTTCCTTTTCATGTTGGCATGGTAATATTCTGAATTAAGTGGAAATGCATTTCAGACCAATTCTGTCTCTTTTCGCTTTTCCCATGTGCCTGCTAGAAAATGTGAACTTGCTTCTGCGTCTTCTTTCCTGCATGGCAGCACTAAACTAGGAATCCTGGCTTCTAGGAAAAGAATTAAACCTGCCCATTCCCCATCCTGATACTTGCACACACCGCAAACTGACTTTTCTCGGCAGCATATTAGAAAAGGCAGGATTATCGGCATGCCTTCCTAAGTTTTACTCTCATTTCCAGTCACCCATAGTGCCGAAGCAGCAACGACAAAGAAACGTTTTGTTTTCTTTGGATGTTTCAGGGGTCAAACTCAGGGCCTTGTGCTCGGCAAGCACATGTTCTACCACTAAGCCTCACCTCCCAAGCAGAAGTGATTTGATTCGTTGTATCTGCATTTAGACACAGGCTCTGCCATTCACCCAGCAGTTCTTTGATGGGTTGGTAGGGTCCAATGGCCAAACACCTGCCTTTCCTATTTCAGAACAGGTACAAACATGTCTTCTTGCAAAGCTAATAATTAATGTGATCATAGATATATCTTCATAGTCCTGTGTTTGATGCAGAGAAAACTGCCTCCCGAATTCTAAATGGACCCCACTCCTTCTATGCCTATAGCCAAGACACAGCCTGACATCAGGCTCTCCTTCCCTGTATCTGGGATTGTGTCCTCTCTTGCATACTCACCCTGAGCTCATCTTTTCTAACAGGACATAGCATTAAACTCGTGTCAGGTATCAAAGAAGCTTATAACTAAAACTAATGACACTGGTCAGATAGTACCGACTTAGGGTGTCATTTGGCCACCATGTGCTGCTCTGCTTCTCCTTGGTTCTTGTGACACTGCAGTAATTAAACATTCATCCCAAAGAAAATTCAGAAAGGGACCCACACTCAGATTTTGGCAGTCAAGCATATTTAGAAGAACAGACATTTGTGATTTTCCCCTTAACTCAAATGTCCCTTCCAATTTCTGTGAAGATCTCCGACCTAGCCAAACCCAGACAGCCGGCTGGGTTACTCATGACCTTGGAATTATTAGCAACTCCTCTGGTTAGCATTCTCTAGGTTCTAGGGGCTTGGAACCCTCCTTCCCTGCCCTACCCACTGAGCCCCTGTCAACCCCTGGTTCTTCTCTAGCTGCCTCTTCTGATGGAGTGGCCCAGAGAGAAGAGGCGCTTTAGGAACTACAGGGAAGACTTTAGTTAAGAAATTCTGATTTGTAAGTAACAAATAACCTTAAAAGACATGTAATGTAGGAGGTGAGCGTAGGAGGTGAGCTGCAGGGCGTGAGGTGTGGAACGTGGGGTGGGGGAAGTGAGGTGCGTGAGGTGAGGTGTGGGGTGCAGGGTGTGGGAGGTAAGGTGTGGGAGGGTGCGGTGTAGCAATTTACAGCCCTGCTCTAGGGAAAGGCTTCTCCAATGTAACAGTTCCGCTCCAGCAGCGGAGGGCTTCCCCAGGGAAGTTGTTACAGTTGGGCTCCAGTGCCCCAGCGTGTAACAACTCTGCTCTGCTAGGGGACGGTTTTCCTAGCGAAAGTGTTACAGTCCCGCTCAGCTTGGCTCTGGCTCTGCTCTGGGGAAAGAAGGTCTCACCCAAACTTCGTTCAAGAAGAGATTTATTGGGAGGGGAGGATCTAGGAGAGTGGCTGCATCTGCCAGTGTGGAAAAAGGGTGCAGGGCTTATATAGGGCTTCTT